ATTTTTAAAACTAAACTTACATAAAAAAAAGCAATTCGAGCAGTAAATTTGTATTATTTTATAGATGATCCCGCGCTAAAAATTGGAACTCTAAAAAAGACCTTTTGCGACTTATGCTCTCCTAATACAAATTTTCAGATTTAACAAAATTTTCAGTTTTGCCTCTTATACGAGGGCTGGTCAAAAAGTTATGGAAAAATCAAATTTCAAGACAACTTTCAATTACTTTTCGACTAACCCTCGTATTTGGCTCAAAACCAAAAATTAAGATAAATTTCAAGATTTGTATTAGGAGAGCATAAGTTGCATCGGGTCATTTAAATTTTCCATTACTTTTCGACTAACCCTCGTATAAAGTAAAAGTCGAACGATCGCCGCGCCACCTTGTGTCAAATAGCCGAACTACTATAGTTCGTCAGTCTACCGGTAGGGGGCCCCTGGTGGCGAATAGCGGAACTACTTGGGTTCGACGGTCTACCGCTAGAGGGCACCGCGATTGCTTGATACGAGGGTTAGTCCAAAAGTAATAGAAAATTCAAAATTGTTTTTTGAAAAAGACCCGATGCAACTTATGCTCTCCTAATACAAATCTTGAAATTTATGTTAATTTTCAGTTTTGAGCCAAATACGAGGGTTAGTCTAAAAGTAATTGAAAGTTGTCTTGAAATTTGAGTTTTCCATAACCTTTTGACCAGCCCTCGTATATGTGGCAAAACTGAAAATTTTGTTAAATCTGCAAATTTGTATTAGGAGAGCATAAGTCGCAAAAGGTCTTTTTAAAAGTATCAATTTTTAGCGCGGGATCAACTATATCGCAGTCTTGTTTTTCGTTTTTCTACATCGTTCGGCCTTGAAACGTTTAATTGTACTATTACTATCATAATTTATGTTCATTTCCAGTATTATAACTATAAATTAAAGTTGCATTGGATCTTTTTCCAAGTTCAGAATTAAAGCGCAGAATTAACTTCACCTTTCTTACAAATAGTTCAGCTCCTGAGCATATGACTTGTAATTTTCGAAAATTGACAATTTCTTTTTTTTACAGTATTTGTACTATTGTATTCTTTACTGTTCAAAGCTGAGGACAAAACTAAAAACACATACTTTATTTATTTATTTATTTAAATACTAAAGAATTATAATACAATGAAAATACATTTATTATAACAAAGTACAAATTTATTTCAAATAACAATACATTAATATAAACAAAATGTCTAAGATATAATACATTTTAACGACTTATAAATGTTAAAAATAAAATACCTGTAAGAGAGACAATAAAATCAATAAAATTTCAAAGCAAATACAATAAAAAGCATCATATTTTCTACATAAACTGTCATACCATTATTATTTAAATGCAAGATTAGGGAGAAAGAAAAAAGCCCCCTAACCTTCTGTGGCCTCCGCATCTCCCCTTATAGCCACCCTATCCGCCCAAACGAACGTTAATTTTGAAAGCGTAAACAAATAATTAATTTAAGTAACAATTATGCCAAAAAACAATTTAGAAACATTTTAAATATCAAGCTAAGTTATGATTAAAAAGATGTAACAGTTTATGTAGTAAAAAACAAAATACCTGTAAGAGAAAGACAAGAAAACACATGAAATTTCAAAAAAAATACAATAAAAAGCAAACAATACGATGTCTTCAGTCTTCTTCGGTTACCTGAAAGCGAATAGTGCAATTACAAGGACTAACGACAAATACTAATAGTTTTGGTAGAGAAGATCGGACAGATTTCGCCAAGGCAAGCTGGGCAGTCGCCTATTGCTCCTATTCCAGATAACCCACTGTACCCTGTCTGAAAGGAAGTAACGCTAGAGTAGACTCGCGAAAAGTGTATAAGACACTTTTAAGATCAACTAAATAGCTAAGCCCAAGGGAAGTCGTTCGGGGAGGCCCTCCCTAATTCCACAAGGGTGAGAAGAAACACACACGATAACGAAACGTTGAATCATGTAGAACTCGTAGGGTAAATGCAAAGCAAATTAGGAAGAATATGCAGTAAGCTAAGCGAAGAGGTAAGCAAGGTTAGACTATACTACAACTACTAAATGTGTTAGTTCTACTACTACACTAGTAATACATACGAAAAAAAATAAATAAAAACATCTACAATCAACAATTACTTTAAAGAAAATGAACAAAAATAAGCATGCAAAATAATAACTAAATCAAATTAACTACAAAAAAACATGCAAAAAGAAAATATGAATGAAATCAACTTAATGAATTCTACCAGATAGAGCATGCAAGATAAAGAACTATTTCAACTACGGGGTCATCTTTGTCTTCTCCAACGTCGATCTGAAACAAATACGGTCGCAAACAGATTAATAAAAAGCAATTAAAATTAATTATATCAAGTATTCTCACCTTAATTAACTGTAATGTTCCACAGTTTGCAGATGAGAAAAGCAAACCAGATCCAGAAATAATGCCAATGCAGAATATTCCTTATTTCAGTGGAAGTCAAATAAATATCCAGTTGTTCTCACACATCAGTTCAAAACTAACTGCAGAATGATGCAAAGCGAACGAAAACAGCAAATCAAGAATGTAGTTCACCGAAGACCACACCCATGTAGACAATGGTTGTTTCAGTATGACCAAAATGAACTTCAACTCCCTCTCACTTGTTGAACAATCTGTAGAAATGGGTAAAAAAAAACATATTAATTACACTATTAATTAAGGAACAGATCAAACACATCCAAAAACACGCATCAAAAACCAAGTAAAACAGCTGAATTATACAATGGCGACAAGCGTCAAGTTTACATAATCACAGACTAAATTTGACATATAAATGTGAACTAATCATAGATACACATAACATTAATTTAGAATGTAGACAATAGATAATTATTTAAACTCCACAGATGCACAAGTCAATTTAAACTGTACACAATAGATAAATGTTAAACGACATACCATACATGCTGTGGACTATAGATATTTAAAATACTATACAATACGTCACATCAATCTATACTCTGGCCAAATAGATAACAGTTTAAAAGAAATGCCACTATAGATTAATAAAGAGCAACTAAAATTAATTATATCAAGTATTCTAGTTGAATTATAAAATGGCAACAAGCGTCAAGTTTACATAATGACAGACTAAATATGACATATAAATGTGAAACAATCATAGACGCACAAAACATTAATTTATTAAAATTCCACAGATGCACCAGTCAATTTAAACTGTAAACAATAGATAAACGTTAAACGACATACCATAGTGCTGTGGAGGACTATAGATATTTAAAATACTATACATACGTCACAACATCAATCTCTCTGTAGAAAGTAGCGTTCTAAAATCTACTAGTATGAAGATAAAATAAGTTCCACATTAATTATGCTGTTATGGATCTGCCATATCTGAAATGTTGTTTAAAAGTTGCCTTATTGAAGCAGGTTACAAACGTGTAAGAAATTGAAGTCTCTAAGACCCCATTTATTATTTCTACTTGATACTATTACATACCAGTTCATTGTCATAAATCCTTTCTGCAACAACAGCACACTGCCCCCATTCCCAATGAAAAAATTGCATTTTCATACTCTCTTCGGGGCCATAGGTACAACTGCCTTCTAAAGCAATGGAGGACTGACACAACCTAAGCTCCATAATTTAATGACAACTGGAGTGCTTCTAATGTTCCTCCAAAATGAGACCTTATGAAAAAGTGTTCAGACATAATTAGTTTAGCTTTCCTAGTAAATAATGCACATAATACATTTTTAAAGTAATAACGAACCTTTTTCTCAGTTAATATCAAATAAATATGAATACTAATATAAATATATAGTATGGCACGTATGCTCACCTTAATTAATTAACTACAACAGTTTCCAAGATGTAAAGCTAACAGATAAAAAACCATAGCAGAGATGCAACGCTTGTTTCAGTAGCATCAAAGTTAACTGCAATTCCTTTTCATTTGTTGGGCAATCTATAAACACGTAAGGAAAGTAATTAATTATTACTTTTAAAGCAATCAAATTGGTAAATTTACATATTTAATGCACCTAATAATACCTAATAATAGTTTGTATTAAGCTAACATTTACACCGACGGAAAGTTTGGTTTCAAATAAATTCTACTGTTCTACCTCTGGTATTTTTGAAACGTTGTTTAAAAAGTGTCCATTAAAGTTGTAAATGTGTAAGAAATTTAAATAAGAGAGCAAAAATGGAAAACAAAACGCAATTCAAAATTAATACCTTTACAATTTATATTAACATTGTTATAATTTAAAACAAAATCAAAATTGTTAACGTCTGATCTTAATAAAAAGTATTTTTACACACTTCTGCAAAATATTAAATCGACATTCTCTTTGAATTTTTAGGACAGAATAAACAAAATATAGTGATGCTATACCATCCAGGTTTATTAAAAAAAAATTGATGGAACAAGTACATGAAAATTGAAAACACGGCATGTTTCCAGAAATTTTAATTATTGTAGACAAACTATACAACAATAATAATCTAATGGTGAAACATATGTTGAGTTTCTATAGTAAATAAGATTTATTGAAAATTGCAATTTATAATTTAAGTTATGTACCATTCGAACTATGTAGTTTTTTCCAGGGTGGTCAAATAAATACACAACTATATGCTTTTGTAACGCTACGGTTCAATTTTCAGATTGAAAAAAGTTTGTTTTTTACTAATATATTTTGTTACAGTTGTATCTGTTGTATTATTATTATTTATGGTTTATGTTATTAAATTGTTATACTTATTTCTTAAATTATCTGTANAACATATTTTGTTAATGTTGTATCTGTTCTGTTATTATTATTTTTATTATATTATTTATGGTTTATGTTATTAAATTGTTATAATTATTTCTAAAATTATCTGTATCAGTTCTGAAGTTTACACGACTTTGGGTGTTTTTTTTATGTGCATCATTTCTTTGATAATTTGTTTTTTGTAATTGCTTTCCCAGTTTAAAATTTCAGGTTCATTGAAATTGCAATAATGCTGGTTATTTAATGCTGTTTTTGTTTTGTTTATATTGACTGACAATACAAATACAATATATAAAATAAATTGCCTAGATTACAATCGAATTGATATTGGACAAACGAAGCAATACATAAAAAACCGTATATATGAACACCAATATAATTTAAAAAATATAAACAAAACAAAAACAGCATTATCAGAACATGTATTAAATAACCACCATAATTTCAATTTCAATGAACATGAAATTTTGGACTGGGAAAGCAATTATAAAAATCGAATTATCAAAGAAATGATACACATAAAAAAACATCCAAACTCGTGTAAACTTCAGAACTTATACAGATAATTTAAGAAATAATTATAACAATTTCATAACATAAACCATAAATAATAATAATACAACAGATACAACTTTAACAAAATATATTATAAGACTTCAATTAAATATATATAGGAAAATCCAAAAGACCATAAACCAGATGGGGGTTAATGCTTTACCTAAACATTCAGAACTAGTATGCAGTTGTTAAACATGGTAGAATGTTTAAGAATAAGTTAATATCTGTGTACAAGCACTAACACTCCAAAAGGTATGTTCTTTGACTATTGATTATATTTATAATTTATAAACAAACGTATAACACCTAACTAGTAGAACTATAAATAAAAAACAAAATTTTTTCAGTATGAAGATGGTTACAAAAGGAAACGTTATAAAAACATATAGTTGTGTAATTATTTGACCACCACACTGGAAAAAACTACATAACTACAATTTACATTATAAAAGGATTACTGTGGAATTGTATAATGAATCAACCATTAACAAGTCCCAAAAATACTCTTAAGATATCTTTCTTACCTCTTAGTCTTATAACTCCTAACGTGTCCAAACAGAAACCAATTACATGCCACAAGCTCATTCTTCAGCAAACCACTTCACTTTCCAGGAGAGGAAGTCATTTGCAAAACTTCTTGATACTAAACAAAGACAAAAGAATAACCACTTTAACGTATTTTCCTCACAACAATGTTTTATTTGCAGATTATTTAGTTAAAGTTGCAATGCAATGTTTATTTTACTATCTATGATTTTGTATTGATTATTTGCAATAAGTAGTAGACTAAATAAACTACACTAAATCATTAAAAGTTAAAATATTTAAAATCTTACCCAAAGTAAGCCTCACAGGTTTCCCATTAGTGTGGAAGGTATTATAGGTAAAGGACAACATTTCACACTATTAATAATATAACATCTTGGCACAGACCATTTTTATGCCCTTCGGTATTATTGTAAAGCCTGTACAAAAACAACAAATATTCCAGTTGGTATATTGTAACGATTGTGTGTATTTATCCTATAATAAATTAATACATCTTAGTTTTAACTTTCTATAACTGTTAATACAGTTATCAGCAGGTATCAAACAAATTTATTTTCAATCATCTTACCTCTTGACAACAAGGTCCATTAAGATTTAGAAAGAAAATGAAATGTCTCCCTAGGTTAAACTGCCAAAGGATCTTATTTAGCAAAGGCCAAACAAAAATGTATTTTTACGTGCACCTGTAAAAAGAAAAGAACAAATGAGAGCCAACAAAAATTTTATAGAGCAAAAGAAAAAGGAAAATGAATGTAAAAGATAAGTTTGTTAACAAAGATTATCAAATATGGCGGAGTAAATTACTTAGTAGCTTTATTAATGGAATCTTAAACATAATCAGATACCCAATAATAAAAAAACATACAAGAGATAAAACTGTAATGTCAGAATATATTATGGTTGAAATTTTGTGTTTACTATTACCTCTACCATATTCTTCGTATACCCACAAAATAGCACAAGTTGAAACTACAAAACGAGACAAGAAGCAGCAGCAAACTGGTGAACAAGAAGGAAGTACGTCATCGACGAAATTACGTAATTGTTAATCTCGTCGAAGATAGTAATACATTTTATGCTTAATATGTATTGACAAGTAGCGGTTCGTTGTTGCAAATGCCGGTTTAAAAAAATACTATGATACAATTTAAATGTATCCACTGTCACTAATTATAACAAAATCACGTAAAATGAGACATTATTGGAAATTAATAAACACAAAGTGGGACTGGCGACGAGTTTATCTGGCCGTTACCGAAGTCAACGCAAGGGAGCGCTGTATTGACATGTTCGGACAACCTTTTAGACTGGTGCCAAATATTTAAAATTATAAATTCATTACAACAATTAAGAAAGCTTATTTATATACACTATCCGGAAAAAGCTAGTTTCACTATTCAGATTAATGCATTAATTGGCTAATGAATAATTTAAATTTACATTTTTAAACAAATTTTTACCAGCCTTCGCAAACACACAGTAGTTGTAATACACATTTTTTAAGTCAAATGTAAACTTCGTTTGAATCGCGAAAAAAAGCAGACATCAATACCTCGAACGCCACATTGGTTTTCCAAAAATACATTTTTAAACGAGATAAAAATGACCTCCAAAATTAAAATTATAATCGCTTTCTTTCTCGGACATTTTTGACTCATAAAAATTTAATTTTGAAGAGCCGGTGGGGCGTTCCATGCATTGATGTCTGCCCCTTCTCTTGGTACAAGCGGATTTTACATTTGACTACAGAAATACCTCGAACGACCTGAACGACATATGCGATTTTCAAAATTACATTTTTACACGAGTCAAAACTGTCCGCAAAAGTTTAAATTTTTGACGATTTTGAAAAACACATAGCACATTGTGACGCTGCAGTTCGCATTTTTGAAGTCAAATGTAAAAAAAAGCGAATGAACAGACTTCGATGCCTAGAACGCCCTAAAATGTCTGCGAAAGTTGCAATTTTTTTTTATTTTTAAAACCACACTACATATTTAGGCTGCAGTTCCTATTTTTGAAGTCAAAGGTAAAATCCGCTTGCAACATGAGAAAGATCAGATTTCAGTGCCTCGAATACCCTTTGGGTTTTTTAAAATTATATTTTGTAAGCGTCTAAAATGTCCGCCAAAGTTACAATTTTTTTTGGTTTTCAAAAGCACACTACATTTTTAGGCTGCAGTTCCCATATTTGAAGTCAAATGTAAAATTTGTTTTCACTGTGAGAAAGAACAGACATCAGTGCCTCGAACGCCCTTTCGGTTTTCCAAAATTATATTTTGTAAGCGTCAAAAATGTTCGCCAAAGTTACAATTTTTATTGATTTTTAAAACCACACTACATTTTTAGGCTGCAGTTCTCATTTTTGAAGTCAAATGTAAAATTTGTTTTCACCATGAGAATGAACAGACTTCTGTGCCTCGAACGCCCTTTGGGTTTTTCAAAATTATATTCTGTAAGCGTCTAAAATGTTCGCGAAAGTTACAATTTTTTTCAATTTTTAAAACCACACTACATTTTTAGGCTGCAGTTCCTATTTTTGAAGTCAAAGGTAAAACCCGCTTGCAACATGAGAAAGAACAGACTTCAGTGCCTCGAATACCCTTTGGGTTTTTTAAAATTATATTTTGTAAGCGTCTAAAATGTTCGCGAAGGTTACAATTTTTTTTGATTTTTAAAACCACACTACATTTTCAGGCTGCAGTTCCCATTTTTGAAGTCAAATGTAAAATTTGTTTTCATCATGAGAATGAACAGACTTCAGTGCCTCGAACGCCCTTTGAGTTTTTCAAAATTACATTTTGTAAGCGTCAACAATGTCGGCGAAGGTTACAATTTTTTTCAATTTTTAAAACCACACTACATTTTTAGGCTGCAGTTCCCATTTTTGAAGTCAAAGGTAAAATCCGCTTGCAACATGAGAAAGAACAGACTTCAGTGCCTCGAATACCCTTTGGGTTTTTTAAAATTATATTTTGTAAGCGTCTAAAATGTTCGCGAAGGTTACAATTTTTTTTGATTTTTAAAACCACACTACATTTTCAGGCTGCAGTTCCCATTTTTGAAGTCAAATGTAAAATTTGTTTTCATCATGAGAATGAACAGACTTCAGTGCCTCGAACGCCCTTTGAGTTTTTCAAAATTACATTTTGTAAGCGTCAACAATGTCGGCGAAGGTTACAATTTTTTTCAATTTTTAAAACCACACTACATTTTTAGGCTGCAGTTCCCATTTTTGAAGTCAAAGGTAAAATCCGCTTGCAACATGAGAAAGAACAGACTTCAGTGCCTCGAATACCCTTTGGGTTTTTTAAAATTATATTTTGTAAGCGTCTAAAATGTTCGCGAAGGTTACAATTTTTTTTGATTTTTAAAACCACACTACATTTTCAGGCTGCAGTTCCCATTTTTGAAGTCAAATGTAAAATTTGTTTTCATCATGAGAATGAACAGACTTCAGTGCCTCGAACGCCCTTTGAGTTTTTCAAAATTACATTTTGTAAGCGTCAACAATGTCGGCGAAGGTTACAATTTTTTTCAATTTTTAAAACCACACTACATTTTTAGGCTGCAGTTCCCATTTTTGAAGTCAAAGGTAAAATCCGCTTGCAACATGAGAAAGAACAGACTTCAGTGCCTCGAATACCCTTTGGGTTTTTTAAAATTATATTTTGTAAGCGTCTAAAATGTTCGCGAAGGTTACAATTTTTTTTGATTTTTAAAACCACACTACATTTTCAGGCTGCAGTTCCCATTTTTGAAGTCAAATGTAAAATTTGTTTTCATCATGAGAATGAACAGACTTCAGTGCCTCGAACGCCCTTTGAGTTTTTCAAAATTACATTTTGTAAGCGTCAACAATGTCGGCGAAGGTTACAATTTTTTTCAATTTTTAAAACCACACTACATTTTTAGGCTGCAGTTCCCATTTTTGAAGTCAAAGGTAAAATCCGCTTGCAACATGAGAAAGAACAGACTTCAGTGCCTCGAATACCCTTTGGGTTTTTTAAAATTATATTTTGTAAGCGTCTAAAATGTTCGCGAAGGTTACAATTTTTTTTGATTTTTAAAACCACACTACATTTTCAGGCTGCAGTTCCCATTTTTGAAGTCAAATGTAAAATTTGTTTTCATCATGAGAATGAACAGACTTCAGTGCCTCGAACGCCCTTTGAGTTTTTCAAAATTACATTTTGTAAGCGTCAACAATGTCGGCGAAGGTTACAATTTTTTTCAATTTTTAAAACCACACTACATTTTTAGGCTGCAGTTCCCATTTTTGAAGTCAAAGGTAAAATCCGCTTGCAACATGAGAAAGAACAGACTTCAGTGCCTCGAATACCCTTTGGGTTTTTTAAAATTATATTTTGTAAGCGTCTAAAATGTCCGCGAAAGTTACAATTTTTTTTGATTTTTAAAACCACACTACATTTTCAGGCTGCAGTTCCCATTTTTGAAGTCAAATGTAAAATTTGTTTTCATCATGAGAATGAACAGACTTCAGTGCCTCGAACGCCCTTTGAGTTTTTCAAAATTACATTTGTAAGCGTCTAAAATGTCCGCGAAAGTTACAATTTTTTTTATTTTTAAAACCACACCATATTTTTAGGCTGCAGTTCCCATTTTTGAAGTCAAATGTAAAATCCGCTTGCAACATGAGAAAGAACAGACTTCAGTGCCTCGAACGCCCTTTGGCTTTTTCAAAATTATATTTTGTAAGCGTCAAAAATGTCCGCCAAAGTTACAATTTTGTTTGTACCTACAGTACATTGTGACTGAAATCCAGTTGCATCATGAAAAAGAGCAGAGATCAAAACCTCGAGCAACTTACGGGCTTTTCAAAATTACATTTTTATACAAGTTAAAAATGTCCGCGGTTACAATTTTTGTCAATTTTGAAAAACACAGTAATTTGCATTGTGATGCTGGTGTTCTCATTTTTGAGGTCAAATTTAAAATCCGCTTCTAGCACGAGAAAGAGCAATATTCTTCGCATTTCTGAGGTCAAATATGAAATCCGCTTGCACCTTTATGTTTTAGCATAGGCTTTTTAAATATTCTGTCCGTTTGTTCAATACATATAAACTTTAGATTGACTCATCAAGATTAACTCCCGACTGTTTCTCTTTTTATATTTTATCTTTGTTATGGCTAACTCATTTTAAGACCAATGTTTGTTAAATATAAAAAAAAAATATCAGATATGGGGCCTTCATCAGTAATACTATCATATTTTTTCATTAATGAGGTAAATTAATTCTTAGAGTAATTTTTGTTGTTCCTTATACATTGATTGATCTATTATTGAAGGATTATAACCGTCATTTTGTGAAATTTGTTTAATAATATTTAATTCTTTTAAATAATTATTTTTAATCATTATGAATATGAATCATGCTATTGTAAGCAGCTAATTTATGTTGTTTTATGTAGATGAAATGATTTATGTATAGTTATACGATACGGTGTGTGATAGTTTGTGAAAAATATTGTTTATTTTAGCTAAAATTAAATCAAGAAAATTAATATAAGAATAAAGGCTTTCACGGTCGGAATAGGTACAATATCTATACAATGTTGTTATTAACTGCTTCTGCGACTTTTAAAAAATATATCAATGGTTTATACCCTAATGCAAATTAATTTCCTTGAGTAAAGATTCGAGCTATAGGGCCGTGGTCTACGTGAACTATTCTGTCCAGACGTTTTGTCGGCTACTGAGGCTGACATCCTCAGTGGTAGTGCTGCGTTGACAACGTGAACAGTCGCTGTCGAGACATCGAGATATAATCTACGTTCACGTTGTCAACGCAACACTACCACTGAAGATGTCAGCCGCAGTAGCTGACGAAACGTCTGGACAGAATAGTTCACTTAGACCACGGCCCTACAGCCCGCATCTTTATTCCACTATGGATTCCGGCCGTGAAAGCCTTTGTTCTTATATTAATTTTCTTGATTTAATTTTAGCTAAAAAAAACAATATCACATTTTCGATTTTTCACAATATAGCCCGAATCTTTATTCTACTCAAGGAAATGAATTTGCATTAGGGTATAAACCATTGATATATTTTTTAAAAGCAGCAGAAGCAGTTAATAACAACATTGTATAGATATTGTACCTATTCCGACCGTGAAAGCCTTTATTCTTATATTAATTTTCTTGATTTAATTTTAGCTAAAATAAACAATATTTTTCACAAACTATCACACACCGTATCGTATAACTATACATAAATCATTTCATCT